CATCATCAAAAGGTAATTAATATTTTAATGAATTGATTATAGTCCTATTTGTAAACATTTAGACAAAATATTCAAAACAGAATTTTGGCAACAGCCGCTTCCCTTGTAGAATATAGTAGCCATTTTCCTATTGTCCAAACTTTTACTTTCATGAATACAAACATACTAATCATGTACATTTTTATGCAGAGTTCTGGTTAGGTTTGTTTAGAATAGATTCCTAGAAAAGAAATTCTTGGCTCTAGTTCTGAAGTATGTAACATGTATTGTAAACTATTAAATTGCATTTTTCAAAGCAACAGCAACATTTAAGAATGGCCATCTTACCATACTCTTGTGTGCATAGAACATTTTGATTTAAAAATTGTTGCCCTAGGCTAGCAGTGACATGGTGGTTAAAGCAGCTAGATCCCACCCCATTTGACCAATAGCACGGCTGAGCCCTGGACCCAGCAGCTTTAAAAACTCAGGAGCGCATGTACATGTGCGCCCAAAATCCCAAGAAGAGAATGCAGAAAGGATTATGGAGTGGCCTTCCCCACCTAGGGTGCTATCTCACTTTGTCTATTTTTTTCCAGTGAGTGCACACATCCCATAGCAAAACTACAAGAAAGAAAGAGGGAAAAAAAAAAGTGAAAGAGAGAGAAAGAAATGACTGCCAGTGTTAAGAGTGACAAATGGGAGCTGTTAGGTGGCGGGGTGGTAAAGGCGCTGGATTCCCCACATGGCTGACCGCAGTTTAAGTCCCAGACCTGGCAGCTTGCTTTCTTGCCCTCCACCCAAATTAAAATAATAATAACAAATGGAATTAAATAAATACATTTTTTTAAAAAGTGACAAGTGATGTATTTTTGTTATAATCGCTCTAATAAAAAAATTTTATTATCTTTTATTTAACTTTATTTATTTTAATTTGACCAGAACGGGAGAAAGCAAGAGAGAGACAAAGAGAGGGAAAGTGAGAAAGCAAGCCACCAGGTCCAGGACTTGAACCATAGTCAGCCATATGAGAGTCCAGTGCCCTTAACCACCATGTTACCTGCTGGCCCCAATCACTCTTTCTTTTTAACAGCAGTTTTAATTCGTTTTCGTGTTGCATATATTAAGCGACTAAGAAAAGAAACTTTCTCAATATAGCATTCATGTAGAGTCTAACATGCATAAATACACATTTTGGCTATCTGCTTAATAGTAGGTATTAAAATTATTATGCATTTAATGATTCATCATAGAATGAACTTCTGAGGTTTATTTAAAATTATAAAACAATATTATAATTTCAGTATTATAGTACAGGAATAATAAATTTCATTCTATTGCTAACTTGCTCTACTGCATTTTTGCAATATTAAATAGTTGCTTTTCTATTAAGATGAAGAAATATTTTTGCTTATTTCCAGGGTACTGCCTGCTGATGGTGTTACATTTAGTCATCAAGGTTTTCTTTCTGATAGTAACTAGAAGACCTAGTTATAATACAGTTTTATAAATGTAGTCCCACAAACTAAAGTTTTTTGTACTAACTGAAAAAGATGCTTTCTGAATATTTTCAGGAATATATTTATGATTGTATACAGTTTTTGTTCAAATAACTTATTTGCTGCTTCACTTCATCACTTAGGGAAAATCTGTCCTTAAGCCTTAGATTTAAAATGTGACAGCAAGGATTAGCTCTATAGCCTAGTTGTTAGAGGAGCTGAGTCCCACATGGCCAACCATGGTTTAAATCCTGTCCCTGGTAGCTTGAAAAACATGCTAGGTACCTGTGCCCCAAATCTCAACAGGATGGAGAAAGGATTGTAGCATAACCATATCTCATTGGGTGGTGCTCA